GTATTTTATTTGCAGCACTTCTGAAACTCGAATCCAAGATCCTCCATATTTATGTTGTATCGTGGGGCCGCCTACCGGTTACGCATAGGTCTGCCAGGGCAGCACTTCTGAAACTCGAATCCAAGATCCTCCATATTTATGTTGTATCGTGGGGCCGCCTACCGGTTACGCATGAATTAGGTCTGCCAGACTACGCGATAAGAATACAGAAAACCAGGAACACGGCTGCACTGTCAGGTCAGGTCAAAATATACACAGCCAGTGCGTAACCATAAAGACTGGCTGAATGGCCAAATATGGTGACTAGCTTTGTTCGTTTTTTTCCAGCCAGTGGCGAAGTTCCTCCAGTGAATATTCTCACACCCGCTCCACTGATCGTATGCTGCTCAGCCACGTTTGGTGAGCCCCGCTCACGCAAATGCTGCTTGAAAGCGTGCTGATCTTAGCGAGGTGTCGTTCTTTGTGAATGAACTTTCCGTGCCTAGAGGCGTCCTGACAATTCCCCACTTTGAAGATATTTCTTGCGTTCTCAATTTGAGGTTTACTTGCAAACTTTTTACTGGAATTCTTCGCCGCTTAGGTCTTCTTTACAACGGAGATGGCTTAACGTCAATGTTTAGTACCGTTGAGTCACTTTTCGGTTGCATCTCGAACTTCCATGGAGAAGATTTGGTGATAGTTTTGTTTTTTTCTTCCTCGGATCATACTCGGTCGAACGCAGTGCCGAATTCGATTGGTAGCATCGTCACCATCATCGACAGCATGACATCAGTGTTCAGCAGTGATGCTTCGCTACCATAAAACCATGCTTTATTTGAAAGTCTTATTGTGAAAAAAAGAATAAAGGTGAATGAGGAAAGAACAATGAATTTGATTGGTGTGCCGAATCCACACCACACCACTCCACCAACATCTACCTCATAGAAGACGTTTTCTTTTCGTCGCCATATCATCCCCGAACTACGACGATGCCCTGAGTAGTCTCTGATAATAACAGACTCCATGGCTAAAAGTACGTCCAATCCGACATTTGCTGCAGAATTTTTCTGATTGGTGTTCGCCGCCTGTCACTCTGGTTTTCTCGGGCCGCAGTGCATCAGTCAATGTCTGCACTTTCCTCCGAAACATAATCTCCACCGGAGACTTCTCAATTGGCGCATTTGGGTCTGGTGTCGTCCGGTAGTTGGTTAAGAAAGCACCAACGACGTCGTCCATTAGCCCCTCCCCTCGAGATTCCAACAAACTTTGTTCAAAGGTATCCACAAATCTCTCGGCTTGTCCATTTGATTGAGGGTGGTATGGCGGTGGCCGGATATGTGTCAGCGTGTTCCGAACACAGAAATCGTTAAAACGAGCTGACGTGAACTGCGTACCATTGCTCGTCACTTTTGCATCAGGTAGCCCGAAACAGCTGAATAGCTTCTGCAGTCTAGCAATGGTGGCTTCGGTAGATGTCTTGCGCATGCAAAGACGTCTGGCCACTTTGTGAAAGTGTCTGCGATTATCAGGTAGTACAGACTATCAATTGGATCCACAAAGTCCGTGTACAACCGTTGCCATGATGCCTGATGTATAGGCCAATCTTGTGTTTCAATCTTGTGGATTGTTGGAAAGTTGAAAGCGTTGAGGACAACTGCGGCAATACTCCTCCAAATTCTTATTCATACCAGGTCAATAAATTTACATTCTAGCCAATGATTTGATTCGGCTAACTACCCGGTGGCCTTTGTTCGATTACTTTTCGTCCGGTACAATCACTCCCTCGGCAAACATTAGGCAATCACCAACGATTGATACAAGAATTCTTGACAATTAGCGGAATGACAAAACTTTGAATTGATGTCCTATCTGAGCCAGCTAAGTCGAAAGAATTTTATGACTCATTGAAGTACATGGCTGCGCTCAGTGGCCTCTTGAATAGTAGCCATAGTTAGAGGGAGGGCTGGGACAGAGTCGGTGATGATGCGCTTGACGTCCGACTCAACACTGATAGTTGAGCAATCGTACTATGAAACCGAGTGCCTCGGTAGAGCATCTGCCTGTCCAAAGGAGTTAGTTTTTTATATTTAATCAAAAATTCGTATCCAGGAAGAGCAGTGACACACCGGTGCAAATGGTTAGTGGTGTATGCACGTGCAACCATCATAGATCCTAGAAGCGGCTTCTGATCAGTCAGCAGAGCGAACCGTCGATCGTACAGCGAAGGTGAGGGCTAAGGCTTCTCTCTGACTATAATTTTGTTCAGCGAAAGTGAATGGGCGATTGTCTTCTCCGGCCCTTCAGGAAGAATATGGGATATCACACCACCAATACCACAATTGGGGGCGTCCGCTGCCACCACAAGTGGCAGTTCCGGGTCAAAGTTCGTGAGAATCAGGTTGGAGACGGGTGACTAGTTGATTCTTTCTAAAGGTTGCTGACATTCCGTTGTCTATTTCCCTTTGGTATTTTTAGTTAGCCCGGAAGCTGAAAGTTAGAATCTCCTTGAAGATTCGTGAGACGCACACTGTTAAGGAATCCCAGTAAGGACAGGACAAAGTCAACCGATTATTGTATTGGCTAGTCGTGTGTATTTCCAGGTGGTGGTAGCGTGGTGAAGTGAACTGGACTACTCAGCGGAAAAGCTGGATTTTATCTATTTGGTATTCTTTTGTTGACAGTTATGGGCGTGCTCACTACCTTAAAACCGCCCCCTCTTATCCATCGTACAATCCCAGTCTCTTGGTTAGATCTCTTTCAACCGACTGCGAACGTGGATCGATACAAACGGCATGTGGTGCTCCCTATCTGGTATGGACATCAATTAGCGTAGTATGATGTAACCCATCAGTCTGGAAACGGATGGCAGCCAAATATCACCCTGTGATATGGGTGAGAACCGAGTATAGTGCGATTGGAGGAACAAGTTAGCTAGCTTGTTAGAGTGTAGGAAGCAAGTAAAAACTATCCATCCTATCTAATTCGTTCAAGCGAACAAAACATGTGGACGTGAATAATCAATGTTCATGCCATCTGTGGCATCCCAGATGCGCCTGCTGTTCATCAGTCTGAGGAATTCACACTACGACCACATCATTTCAACCTCCAGTGGAACCGTTATCAGTATGAGTGTAAAGAACGAAATGACAGTGAACTGAGAACAGTACCATCCGTCGTCACTATAGACGAAAGACACTGCTGCAAGAGGAGGATCACTTTTGGACAAACAATGTTGCAACCGATTCGGACACGGTGGGTAAGAATTCAAACGGGTATGGTTCTGCAACCATACGTTCTCATCATCGGGTATTTAGACGACATGATTAATTCTAGTCTTCGGTCTCAAAGCCAGGGCCCGTAACTTCCGTAGGGCAGTCCCAGATAGTTCCATTGACAGACACGCTTCAACTGCTGAATCAAGGTGAGAGTAGGAGAGGAAACCTGTCCGCTAGTTTAGAATCCGGATGAGAGGTATAGTATCTATCGGATTTCGAAAGCGTCGCTTAACATGGAAAGCAATCTAAACGGCTTGGCAAAAGGGCAAATAGACTCAACTGACGCAGAAAATGTTACCTTGCGGGTGATATGGACCAGAAGCGCCTTGATGCTCCGTAGCTTAGTTAGTGTGAGTTGAATCAGTGGAAATCGTTCGTGGAACTCGCGATTGACATCCCGCTTCTGCTCGGTGGGTCGAGTGTAGATCAGTACACTAGTCTGTAGGGTGGTACGAAAGAAGAAAAACAAGATAATGGAGCTGTAACTAAGTGTGGTCAACTGAGGAGAATGCAAGAGAAATACCACCGCGATAACAAGATTCCACGCCGAGCTGAAGTCGGAGAAACGAAGACTGACAGTCTCCGGAGTCACTAAATTTTAAAGGTTTCCATGTGCTCAGTAGCTAAATTCACTAAACTGTACTATCAGCGCACTCGGAGCAGATAAAACGGGAACCAAACCACTCCTATTTTATCAAGCGAAGACGAGGAAATGATAAATTCGAAACACAGGTTACTGGGTGTGAACAACGCTCGAGTGGAGGCTATGGTGTGTTTATTTGTGGAATCCTCTGTTCAACCGATCGCGCATGCAGTAAAGCAGTCACGCGTGCAGCCCCGGAGACAAAGTTTAGACAGAGGCGGCCGAATAAGGTATCGTATTTACTACGAAAGTGTATTTCCAAAATCAGTAGAATAACGAAACCATACGAGACCAACTAAGACGGATAATTTGACGATGGGAGCAATAAGTGGGAGTGCGCGTAATATGGCGACCGATTAAGTGAACCAACAGACTCGAACATCTCGAATTTCATAAAGGCATCCACGAATGCAATTTGGTAGCACGCACATAAATCCATCCTGCTGAACAGTGGTGGCAGGTTGACGGGCCTCGAGCCGGAAATGCAGCTGTGAATTGACTAGAGTGGAAAAATGACTGGAGAACGGTTTTTCGGGTAGGAGCAATAAACTGCAGCCTGAAAGAACAATGAACCCGGACTATTGAATAGCAATCTCAAAGCAAAATCCACACTAATTTCAGAGACATATTTCCAAACAGGGGTATGGTAAATCATAAAAGGCACATCAACTTACTAGGTAGTTTGGAAGTTGGAACACTTGCTTCCCAGTGGCTACAAGTAGATCAGGGTCATCAAGCAACAACGGTGAATACCACGTCAGAGGGTCGGGATAGATTATCCCGTTCACTGCATTCGCTGAACCGATGCTTGTTCCACTAGGATTTCTCTGCCGGGCCGGTCGAGACCAGGGGTTGATTAAGTGCGTGCGGCGAGAGGGAAGATAGTTTCCTGAAAGTTGTCGAAAATGGATCAATGAGAAGATAGATTGTACCAATGTCAAGAAGGGGGAATGAGTGAAGGTCAATCAACCGAACAGCCATATTTCAAGCACCGGCTATGGAACGACTTTGATAGGTTTCAAGGCATACTCAACTTCCTGTGCAGGTGTACACGGTATCCTAAAGAACTCCAACGCGCGTACGCAAGTACGGCCTAGAGATCAAACCATCCATGTAAATCAGAGAAATGTACACTATCTACACATAGAGCACGGAATCAGTTGAAATAAACTCAAAAATAAACTTGTATGAGCATCAGATAACTTTAGCACGATAACCTCTCCACGAGAAGCCGCAAGGGCGTTCCCGTTCGGTCATGAATTAATGTGAAATATACCCCCGCCCCGCTAACCTTGTGGAAGAGGTAGTGTGCCAAAACACATGGGCGTGCGAAGCACAAAATGAGGTGCAATACAAAACTCAAGTCGTAATTATTGTGGATAGACCAGAGCATAAAGGAAATCCGGTAACGAAATCGTACGCACCATCGACACCATCTTCATTGTGATCTGGCGAGCAGCTCTTCTTCTGATTTTTCGAATATCACAGAAGACCGCCTAAGCGGAGATGGGTCTGTGCTGCGAAGTAAAAGTATGCGCATGACTCAACTTAGGCTTGAGACAAGCACTAGTTCTGTCCGGGAGCTTCACACACTTGTATTGTTGGGTTCTAAATTTAGCAAAGACCGGTCGATGGCATGGATATTCACAACAGTTGATATGTTTACGTAACGTGGTGACCCTCCAGAACCTATCACGGAGAAAGGGCATTGTCGATTTGCTCGTGAGGATAGTCTCTCTCCGAAGGAATCCCATACAAGATTGCGGCTGACGGGGTACTGTCCATAGAAGTGGCCGTTTTTGGAAGGGTCTCTCCAAGAGACTATCGCACTCACCGTTTTTAAGTTGATACATCAGGTCGGCCTCACCACCCTTCATAAAACGCTCGGTTAGTGAGAAACATGCTCTGTTTCTGGGTTTTTGTATTTGGCGCTCGATGGGCATAAACACCTGTTTCACTAAGACGTGTTCCCTATTAGGCAAATCCCATTATACGATTAATTTTCTTATGCAGTACGTAAGCCCTAATTTGATTTTATGGATAGGTGTTGTGTAAGCACGGCTGCCTTAAAACACGACCAAACTGTTGATTCACTCATCTGGCGCGTGGACGGCGAAACACAAGAGTACATCCGTCGACCGTTTTACAAGCGATCATGAAGTAGTAACTGCTGATCTTTCTAGATAAACTATAAGACCGAGTCGCACGATTTCTAAAAACAAACTGAACGCAAACCAAATAGGAAATGGTGATATTCTAGTAAAGCACTTCATATCCGACTAGAAAAACTGCTTCTGGAAGAAGTCGAAAAGTGTTCAGAGTTGGGATGATTGCGCGACAACCATATCGAACGCCTCCTGCACATGAATCTTTATGGTCAAGTTGTGTCCGACCGTTCTGAACAGATTGTGTGAGCGTGCAGTGGAGTATTTCGCTTCGTTCGGAGTAGAAGCCATAGGTCTTCGATAACATCGAATGTCTGTGATTGAAAAATATCAGTGTAGCGTGAAGGACGTATTTGATGATCACCGGCATCTAAGTCACTACTAAGCGTCATTTACAGAACACGACGGCCTGCGAAGTAGACAACCACAGAAACAGGATAACTCAGTAGGTATCAGGTTTTAATGTGTTGTAATCACTATCTTTTACAAATTCATCCATACACGGTTACCCCCTCCCCCCACAAACGGTTTCTATAAGGCGTGTAGCAATAATAAGGAATACTAGTTGCTCTTACCTAAAGCTGAACCATGTCGATATCCCGCAGCACTAGCGACAACAGCAGGAGCGGCCGCATGCCAAACCGAGGACAGAGGATATTCTGTCATTGCACCGGTGGGAAGCGAGTGAGAATCGGTATTGGTCGAAAGAAAACAGTCGACCTCTTTGATTGTAGAAGTGAAATTACGACCGCCCAAGACGGGGAAACTGGAGCCCGTAGGTGTCCAGTAATTAGGACGGGGATGCAAGAATGCGGCAAATGACAGTACCTGAAGCAGAACAGAGATAACAGATGGCGAAGAATTTACAAAAAAACATGTCGGTGCTGCACACAAAACGTTCTGATGACTAAAAATACTCCGAGGCTGTCAATAACTCATAGGCTCAGGAAACCACCAAGAGTTTCCCTAGTATGAGGGTCCAAAACCACAAATCAACGTAAAGGAAACGTTACCAGCATTCAGGTACACCACCGTTTTACTTTTGGATAGGTTATTCTTTAGAGTGTGCTAGACGGGACATTCTGCCAACCGGAGGAGTGCCATCACCCGACATACGGGAACTTTTCGTGATTAGCTACACCAAGCCTCCGTTTTGGAATACCAGTCTCTCTCAGCAAATGTATATGAGCATACACAATAAAATAAAATCTCAAATTCAAAGCCACCCTGGGCAACAACCGCGGCGTGTACATTAACACCAACACAGTCCACAACGTCTTATCCTTTTACGACCAACCTTTTTGTTTTGTTCGGTGAAACAAATATCGGACAACAGCCAACTCACACATCCACCATTTCATGGCTACTCCTAAAACCAGTGTTTCCGTATAAGGTTGGGCTTTGTTCTCCCCATTTCTAGATGTTTACCTTCCCTTAACCATTGTTCATTGTTTGCTTAGTATTTTGTTTTACTCAAAGTGGCTTTTCATCAGACTAACAAATGTCCGCGCTGAGCCTGTCGATTATCCGATGGTAATAACACCATTCAACTCTTTTCTCGTTTGACCTCAACTGCGAACACATACCACAACCCGTTAACAATTCTGAGAACCTGTATGTTCGCGGATTTCAATGCCAACTCACCTGGATGGGTGGCTGACCTTCTCATCGCATGCCAAAGTGAATAAAAATGAGGCGGAATATTCGCAATCAACAAGTTTGAGTTCCAATTTATTCCTTTTCCGGACCGAGAGGGTAATTCACTAAATGCTCGTCATTCACACCTCATCACATTCGGTTTAATTCATTGTCCCCATTGACCACCACACTCTTACCTGCCCTCATTTTACTCCCACTCACACAATCCGTCCCGCATATGCTTTAGCTTCACTTGTCTGCCAATTTGAGTAGTATTTGAGAATCACTTAGCTTCCATTCCTTGTACTGCTATATCTTCAACGAGAACTTCACGTGTACTCTTAATTACGCAACTTCACAATGTTTTGAGACCCATTAAACTCCTATCCCAGTAAAGAGTTCGTCATGCTAATCCTCACGCTGTGGGATTAGAGAACCGGAAGAAATAAGATTTGGAGTTTGCAAGTTTTCACTTCATTCCTTTCGGATTACGTTATCGCACATAATTCCGGTATTACGATCACTACAATCGAAATTTGGCTCCGCGCGTGAAACAAAAATACATCAGCAGAGCTAGGTCGCCTGAGTATTCCTCTCCTTTCTGTCCAGGCCCCATGCTCTCTCAACTACGGAATACTCCACTCTTTTTACACATTTTCCATCACTATACACTATTCAGTGAAAAGTTTTGCATCCCGTTGAATTTCCTACTTTGTTTAGTATTTGTGTGTATGAAACCAGTCAAACGAATCCAAACTGTTTCATTTCGAACCCATGGTTCGGCTGAGGCAGACTGTGGGTAAACTTATATTCGCACGCTTTTTGTCTGCAATTTGTCCACAACTGGCTGTATTTTGATTAGATAGGAACATATATATGTGCTGGCACGAAAAACCCGACAGACAAAACGAAGGCGGTCATGTTTCAGATGAGACTAAAGAGAGCGCCGAAGGCAAGAAAAGACGAAAAACCCGCATTCCTAATTGCACAGTTAAATTCAACTGGGTGGTCAGCGCATCGTGAGTGAGGATCCACAGAACACATTGAAGCGGACCAAACGACGCAAGGAAAAAGCGTATTGATTGCCGTCAGAAACAGCGAAATAGGAAAAAAAGACCGGAAGTAAAGGCTGTTGTCAAGTGTCAACTAGCACTCCCGAGTCCTGATAGCAGTTGCTCCGGAGCACACACACTCCTTAGGGATGCGAGAGCAAAATGTCCTACAAGTTCAAAAACAGCTTCTTTATGGTGATGGCATGTAAGTGATCCCGGAGACACACTCATCAAGCGATTGGCCTTCAGTTTCGGTTGAACGGAACCTATTAGGCTGGTTGTCCTTGAAAGATTGTGTGAAATTTTAGTCCCATTACTTATGTTCGCTACTACCGTTTTTACGCGCTATGCATATTCAAGTTCGTCCCATCAAAAAACAGAACAGCCTCACAGATTTAGATTGTGTGCAAGCTGTGCACTTTGTAATGCCGTGCAAAACGTCCGCAAGTATCGCCGTACTGTATGAGTGATCTACTGACTGCCTCATGACTTATTAGGAAACTTTTATCGTCACGGGTTTTGAATCATGGATTCAGTCCACCAGGTGGGAAGGTTCCCCATGTGCATTTATGAGCTGTTCAAAGCTGGAAGGAGAGCCAAATCCCCAGTACGCTTCCAGACTGTATGACATCCGCACGATGGTTGTGAAGAGTGATTAAATGGTGTCACCATGAGCACTAGTGATCCGCAGATACCCATGTATATCTGCAGTGTCATCAATTAGGAGACCCACGTCTGACCTTGGAATTCTGTCGCGTAGTACATAAGCACGTCTATTGACTATACTACATCAAATAACGGGTCTATACTATCGATGGTTTCAACACAACAAGCGACTTTGACACAGGAACGTAAACGTCCATATTGGTGGAGCGGGGAAAGCGAAGGACACGATTTCACGAATTAAGAGGACGAGGAAGTTCCGCGAGCATGCCACGACTGCCGTTGCAGAAGACAGTACAATCAATAAGGCATTCAGCGCACAATCAATCAACACTACTTCTGTACATTTCGGAGAGGTTGCTTCCAGTGAATTCATCTCAAATGGTTGGACCACTAATTTGGAAACTTACACCGGCTAGGCGTTAGTTTGCTGCAGACTGTGAGGCTTCAAAAACCAAAAAAAATTAAATTTGATCTACGAAGTTAACCTGCGCGCAGAAACAGTGACGATGACTACCACTACCGCAATCTCCTGAGAATCAAATGCTGTATTTTGATGGTTCCTTATCAGGAGGGCAGAAGATGCCATTATGAGCCTGTTTCACAGGAAGATGGGAGCATCTTAGACCGGCTGCAGTGAGTCCAGGACAAAACAAATAAAACCCTCAAACTCTTCAACTGGATGTGCGCACAAAGCCACATCAAGTTTCGATTGGCGAGATAATCGGGAGGTGCGGTCTCCGGATTTATGAGCAAGTTTTCAGTGTTCCGTCAAGAAACTATGCCCTAATATCTCACATATCGTACCAACTGAAAAGCGAAGCGGCCTTTGTACAGCACATTCAGTGGAGAACAGTCGGGAGGTGCGGTCTCCGGATTTATGAGCAAGTTTTCAGTGTTCCGTCAAGAAACTATGCCCTAATATCTCACATATCGTACCAACTGAAAAGCGAAGCGGCCTTTGTACAGCACATTCAGTTGGAGAACAGGAGAAACGATAGATTTAGCTGGAATTCCGTGGAGTCTCCCGTTAAAACAAAATAATTGTGCATATGAGTGTATTTTGCGAATAGCATCTAGGCCAGGTAAGAAGCGTACGCATTTATGCAAAGCCCCAAAAATTAAGTGGGTGCCTGTTGGTTGCGCGCACTAAAGATGTCTCCTCGAATAGTGACGAAACGTTTGCAAATCAATTGCCAAGCTCGGCGAACAGATCAACAGCCACCTGATCAATAACCAACCAATACACCCGAGCTACCAATATTCCAAAACATTACCAACTGCCGATTATTCCCAACAAGGACGGAACAGTTTGCACAATGAAGTCCATGTGATGAAGTTCAAAATCTCTCCATACAACCATCACACTGAAATTAAGGGGGCATGAAGAGGCCATGTTTTATGAAAACTCAGCGTGTAGTGCTGGGTTGGTATGACTGTTAGGGGCAAGAATATATTTCGGCCCAAATAATGGGGGTCGTGGACCACCTGTAATTGCAAGCGGGAGCTGATAAATTGGTGCATAAATCCAGCACTGTTAGTGGGTTGTCAAGTGGGGGGGATTGGAAAAGGAGCTATGCATTGAAGGCAATAGCTTGGATGCACGAGCGCCATTGAGGGCGCGTCCGTGCTTTCATCGAGCTACGTCAGATGAACTGTGTTTATCGACACAGAAGCCCTTGAAACGTCCGTACTTCCGTGCGATCACGTGAAGCGAGAAATTGTTGTTTATAGCGACTTAATCCGTATTTGGGCAGCTCGGGACTGACGAGTTGGCGATTTACGGGAGCTGGAAAAATAGACCAGCCGCACTGCTTCCTAATTTATTTTGAGATATTCCTTAAGCGAAATAGGGTTTGGTGGTCATCAGTTTCATTACCTAAGTTCTCCAGCCCGAGCGTAGAGTCCTGTCCTAATATTGAATTCGACAGTAATGGAGGTGCTGGAAATCCATACCATGTTGTGCACAAACTCCGTGAAGTATAGTTGGCCATAGTTTACAAAAATATCGACAGAACAGTTTAAATCCAACAACCTGTCGTTCCCTAGGTTTCTTTCGCGTACGCAGAAGTTTACACCATATTTTCTTTTTTGTTCGCGTTACCAGGTCTCTTGGGAGAGGTCGGCGCCCTTCGGCGATTCATTACCGGAGCTCTGTGGATAGTGATACTAACCCAACTGTGGCACTCGCTGCATCCTCTCAGGCTAAGCATTCTTCCGCCAGCACAATTACCAGGGACCATACGTCCAGTTTGATTGGATCAGATCCGGTTCGTCCCCTCTCTTCGTTTCGCCCCACGGGTGATGAGGTAAGTGAGCGTTGTATCTATTTTGCCAGACGATCAGTTGTGATTTATTTGACTTTCAGACTGGTTAGTTGTTTGTAGTACAAGAAGAATATCACACGTTTTAAATCCTAGCCGGCGGTATCATTCGAAGAAGCTTGATTCATTTGCTTCAAAGGAAAACTAAATGCTAACCTGAGAATACAGTTACGTGATTTTTCCACAGTCGTGTGTCTTTCGATTTATCATCTGGTTGAATTGGTGGGCAGAAGACACACTAGAATTTACGCTCATAGAGTTCTGGCGTAACGTTTCGGTCCTTGCTTTAAAATATGCCGGTGTGGATACCAAAGATGATGCGGGGAATAGCTGAGAAGCTATGCCACCTCTGACGCCCAAGCACACAACACACTGCAGCTCAGATTCTTAGGCAGAACTTCAAACTTTATCGAGCTACGTAGGATGAATTGTGTTTATCGACACAGAAGCCCTTGAAACGTCCGTACTTCCGTGCGTTTCAAGGGCTTCTGTGTCGATAAACACAATTCATCCTACGTAGCTCGATAAAGTTTGAAGTTCTGCCTAAGAATCTGAGCTGCAGTGTGTTGTGTGCTTGGGCGTCAGAGGTGGCATAGCTTCTCAGCTATTCCCCGCATCATCTTTGGTATCCACACCGGCATATTTTAAAGCAAGGACCGAAACGTTACGCCAGAACTCTATGAGCGTAAATTCTAGTGTGTCTTCTGCCCACCAATTCAACCAGATGATAAATCGAAAGACACACGACTGTGGAAAAATCACGTAACTGTATTCTCAGGTTAGCATTTAGTTTTCCTTTGAAGCAAATGAATCAAGCTTCTTCGAATGATACCGCCGGCTAGGATTTAAAACGTGTGATATTCTTCTTGTACTACAAACAACTAACCAGTCTGAAAGTCAAATAAATCACAACTGATCGTCTGGCAAAATAGATACAACGCTCACTTACCTCATCACCCGTGGGGCGAAACGAAGAGAGGGGACGAACCGGATCTGATCCAATCAAACTGGACGTATGGTCCCTGGTAATTGTGCTGGCGGAAGAATGCTTAGCCTGAGAGGATGCAGCGAGTGCCACAGTTGGGTTAGTATCACTATCCACAGAGCTCCGGTAATGAATCGCCGAAGGGCGCCGACCTCTCCCAAGAGACCTGGTAACGCGAACAAAAAAGAAAATATGGTGTAAACTTCTGCGTACGCGAAAGAAACCTAGGGAACGACAGGTTGTTGGATTTAAACTGTTCTGTCGATATTTTTGTAAACTATGGCCAACTATACTTCACGGAGTTTGTGCACAACATGGTATGGATTTCCAGCACCTCCATTACTGTCGAATTCAATATTAGGACAGGACTCTACGCTCGGGCTGGAGAACTTAGGTAATGAAACTGATGACCACCAAACCCTATTTCGCTTAAGGAATATCTCAAAATAAATTAGGAAGCAGTGCGGCTGGTCTATTTTTCCAGCTCCCGTAAATCGCCAACTCGTCAGTCCCGAGCTGCCCAAATACGGATTAAGTCGCTATAAACAACAATTTCTCGCTTCACGTGATCGAACATCACGTGAAATCTGTGCCTCGAATTGCCATGTCAAAAATGATAAAACGCGGACCAGCACACCTAAAAATGTACGACCTAAAAAGTAATCGTCTCTGTTACCAGACAAACATTTTGGAAGATTGGAAGGCAGGCGCGATATGCATGCCCAAACCACTTATACTAGACTTTTGTAGTGTGACATGATGTGTTAATTTTCAACAGAGATTTCACCCTTTAAGTGAAGCCAATCTATGCCGAGAAGTAAGGAAGCACTGTACAGTAATTCAGAGGAATGACAATTTCAGGTGAGTGGAACTTTCATTTAAGTTGTCATTCGAGCGGCCAGTTAGCACAGGATGTGGATTCCGTCACTGAAGGATGAGAGGTGTATAACCTGTCTAGCCGCGCGCTTATAATCCGTGAGTGGCCAAACAGCCGGGAGGTCACCGGTTAGAGTTTCGTGAGATGCATACTACCGACTATTTCAAAGGACGAAAAAGCTTCTCGGCTTTTCAGCATAGATTAGATTCGCCTTCCGGACAACTTAAAATTCCTAAATCTCCCCACAACACCAGCAAACCAATTGGTAATCATCAGCGAAGTAGTTACGATGGCAACATTTAGGGTATGTAACCTGAAAAAGTCTGTTTTTCCAATTATTCAAAGCATCTTAAGCTGCCTGGCGTTAAAATTGAAAAGAAACAGCTCATGCAATGGGAAAAATTCTGGTGCTACACGGCATTCCAATTGGCTGGATTTCCGGAAGGTCCGTTTCTATCGTTAAGCAGCGTTCAACCAACATACATACATATGTCGTTCGATGAATTCAGTTATTTACGCTATCGCGCAAACTCTCGAAATAGAAGTCTTGAGAAAATAATCGTTCAGGTGTAACACCCTTTCGCCGCCTAGCTGCCATGCCACTCAAAGGAAGTACGAGGGCTGGGGTACTGCCAGATTACCCAAGCCTCGACAAGGGAAGTCGAGAGACAGAGAACCACGGTCAGTAAATTCGCGCTCTAACACTGGGATGAACTACTCACACTTCATAGGTTACCCTGGCCCATCAATGGTTAGGCTACAGCGCACCAAATCCCAAACCAAGGGCATACGTTGTCTACGAGTTTCAACAGGTGCACAGTTTCTTTTCCTTAGGGCGAATCACCCAGAGTAGTCCGCAAACAGCACGAAAGACTTATCGAAACAAAGTTCCTGTGGGCACGAAAAATTAAGCCGCCGAAACTATGCACCGAAAAGAATGCATCTCGGATTTCTTACTTTTTGTGGCAAATGACTGAGAACACCGTCAACACGGTTTTGGGGAAGCCCTTGGGGCAGATAGCCAAGCTGAAAGTGAACCAAAAGGAAGCCGGCGAAATAGAATATTAACGCGTTCATGATACCACAAGAAGCGAACAACCAAACGGTAAAAGGGACGATTCAATAATCAGTGGTCGATACAGTCTGTCATGTGTTACACATACCGAACTGTCTTCGAACAAGACGAGTACTGTCCACTTCGAAAAGTACAAACCACGTCTATAGCTGAAACTGAACGAGCAGGAGTACAGTCTCAGTGGTTCTTTTTCGGCTTGGCTGGATACATCGAGGATGCAGACACTAAGTGTCGATAAGAACATTCGCGCTGTCAGGTATAATCCAGGTTGTTACGGTATTGGCAACGGACTGACACCATGTCCAATTTTGACCGATCTTTTTCATTTGTTGGCTTTCAAAAGCGACTTTTATGGATGTAGGGCAATAGAGAACAGTTGTGCGCATTGTTATTTCTATGTACAGTTGGGATGATGAGGATGACGATGTTGATAACGACGGTGATAATGACTATCGACCAAAGTAACCACCTGTTGCATCATTCTATACATTAGGTTGTACCATCTCACGTCGCGTAAACACGATAGCTCAAAAGTACGTGAATTTGGATTAGCTATAATCTGCGACTTTAGGAAATGCAGTTGCTTAGCTAGATTGAAGAAGAAATCAAAAAGAGGATAGAACCCACCGTCTAGATTGCAAGTTGGACCACAAGGCCCGGTGATCCAATGCACGATGTACACCGTTTGGTTTGCATCTAGCCGTTGTCCGAGGATGGGAGACAGCAAAGACGGAAGGCTGCCTGCACTCGAAAAACTCCAATGACGCATGCTGAACTATGTCACCTGAGACTGGAAGAAGATTGAACGAAGAGTGAATGAAGCACATAAACGCAAACCCTGATTTCCAAACGAAACTTAGGCCTTGCACAAGAAGGACACTTATCTACAGTTACATCTCAATGGAGCACAGTGGAACCAGAAAGTCTCTGGCCTTTCCGAAACAGCGGCCTCCCTTTCGCCAGAGTTCATATTAAATTGGAGTTAGGGGACGCTATTGTGAACTCTCGAAGGGAGTGGCCTCACTAAGAACATGGTCCTCTAGAAGGGATGCTGTAGCTTGACCACTGGCAAAATCCAACTACCAACGTCTGATAACCAAAGGAAAACGGGATGGGAGAGGAGGTCCGACGAGGGACTAGGATTAGATTCAAGCTCACAGTGGGCTTGACAGGGATGAATCCGTATCATATATAAGATGCACTAGCAATGTAAAAGCGAAAAACATTTTAATATGGGTATAAAAAATTTTCTGATGAATAATTAACGACTATGCATAAAAATTGTTCCGAACGGGGAAGGGGCGACCGGGAATCGAAACGAGGATTGTCGCTTCATAGGCTCACCACCTGATGCTTAGGTCAAGAACATAAAATAAGGAGCCCAGTGTAAAGAACTACACTAATCCTCGTGTCGCTCAAACAGGATTACTCTAAATGAAGTCAGATCTGAGGATTAGGGAAGAGTGAATTTGCGCCTCATGAGCGTGTTAACGGTTGCACAAACGGGGAGTGCTACTATGTTGAGTCACGATCAAACTGTTGCTACCAAACAAAAAGCAGCTCCGGTTGCTGGATGAATGACGTCGAACGCAGCAAGGAGAAGTATTCAACTCATGAGAAAACAAAACAGAAACTTGTTTTCAAGTCCAAAATTTTTAATTATCGTGTTGACAAGTCTCTAGATCAAGAAACTCATGAAAATAAGTTCACTGATTGACGATGATGATTTAGGCTCGATCAGTGACAACACGTTTGGCAGATAATCGCCATGCTCGGTGGATCGATCAACGGCCACCTGATCGAATACCACTTTCATTGGTGAAATCATTTCACCTCAGGCCCCGAACGATTTTTGAGGAAGGCGGAACACAGGTACGGAGTACCGGTTCATTAAATAGACTGCGACTAGGAACAATTACAGACGCCTAAATGGGTAAATCAAATTTGCAGTAACACAACGGTGTACCAGATGCTCCAGTTCGGGAACAGTGAACCACTCGGCCAGGATGTTCATCATACCTGCCACGAAGCCGGCATTAAGACTAACAAAACGGATGTCCACGGACACAATGTAGTGAACAGCGGATCGGCAATTTGGGAGCTGTAGAGAAGAGGAGGCATTAAAGAAAACATACACATACTAAGGTGGGAACCTACGATGCAGCTACGATTGTGTAACCCGCAACGTATATGCCTGAGCCGCAACTCTTGGCGTCCATACACATTCATTTAACTATGGAGTTGTATAGTAGCCGGGGGCATGTACCACGAAAACAATCTTGATATGACCAACTGCAACCAAGATCAGTAAGTAAACTGACAAGATAGATAGAAGTGATCCGCATCAGGCGCAGGGACGGTACTTACCAACACTTGAGATAGAGCCATGCCCGGGACGTCTCGGGGCGCTGCAAGAGAAAAGGGTAATCCATCATAGCAGGAAGTGTCGTTTGATGCTGGGAACTCCCGCCACATGTAGACAGAAGAAAATGAATGCGGCTTTAACACCCGGCCATCACTATGAGAAGTAGCAAGGACTTCGGAAATCCGACTAGACCTTACCACAAAATCAAAATCCATCGGATGGTACAAAATAAGTGCAATTTAGGCAACTGGGTATAAGCATTTAGGACAACAGGTGGAGTAGCTAGCACCTAACTTGACACGGTATACGTTAGGCTGGAAAACACGATTGTCCCACGGAAACTTCGCGATTTCAGTGTTTGGCCAAGTACCAAGGGCGACGCAATCTGTTCCAGAGTTTAATGACAGGTATCCCGCTGAAGTATCAGAGGCACTAAGAGAAGAGCTGTTCGAATAAGACCTATGTCCTTAAGGAAGACGATTAAGGATACGTTACCTACAACGTTAAAAATAAAACACATGTGAACATCACACCTGAGTAAGGCACATTTGCGGGTTCAATCCAACTGCTTTGCGAGCATCACCCGATATAAACCCGGGGCACAACGACAGTCCGGCCAAGTGACAGCATGTGCACCGCTGGGATCGGTTGCGCGCCATTCTCTGCAAATTTCTATAACCACCTGCAGGCAAAATCACGTGGACCCAAGCCAGGAAGGCGGGGAACTCCCGCAGAACTGTCTGATATTGGCCTCCCGCATTTCATGTTGCGATATCAAGTCTCCCCCACGATCCTTTCTCCAACAATAGTTCGGGGCAGAAAACAAATTTTACTTGGCAGACGGTGGTGAGACATACGTAGCACATGCCCTGAACATCCCAAGGTTTCAAAACAAATGAGATCCTGTGTCATTTAGACCGTCTGAGAAGGCCCTATCAAAAAATTACTGATACGGTAAACCTCGAATTGCCTCAGAACGGATGCTTTGTCAAGCGCCTTTCCAAGCAACCCAGCTTACTTCTCAGCAACTTCGTGAAGTAAGGAAGACAATTTTCGATTTTGGAAATTGGGAGCTACGTAGGAGTGACAGAACCAAACAACTCCTATACCTTTTGATAGTATGGATCACGCCTCAGGAACGAAACGGAGGCTATTGGGTAGGGCCTAGCAGGCGTCTAGCGGATCGAATCCTCTCCCCAATTCTGCCATTAGTTTGGTCAAGGAAAAAAGTTGGACTATCCCAATGGTTACACCCTCCCCAAGCACTTTTAGCTTGAATAAACGGTGGAAATGAGATCACGACAAGGGAAAGCCCTGTGTGTACGGCGCTGATTGATCCACACGGATGAATAACACAAAAAGCATGAAAAAATACAACGCTCCCAATATCCGCCAAACGAGCACCTGTACTCTCTCGAAGGATGCGGTACCGTACATAATGTGCTTCTCATGAGTCAGCCTCGTCGAACCATAATACCACGCATGAATAACACGTCACACCCGGAACATGCCTACCTAATGAAACGTGTTTGCGAACAACCGAAACGCAGGACCGATAGACAAGTTCATAAATGCATTGGAGGCCAAAAAAGTCACTTACAACATTGCCGTGGGCTTCAACGTGAATAGATAAATCACACTTTGTCTTAAGTAGATCAGTCAACCGGATTACTCACACACCACATAAAAACGGCTCAATACGGTCATCCATTGATATGACCCGCACACAAATGGCAGTAGAATGTCACTATTGTCGGGGAGTTCGGCTGCTAGTTTCCTCAACAAGCTGACCCGCCAGTGTACGAGTATCAAGCTAACCGGGAGGCTAACAAACTCGGTAAACTGGGAACCCTGTGGCCGAAAACACTGGGCTCCTATGATCCATCGCATCATATACCTAGGGATGATACGCTGATGGGAAATTCGTAGACGCAGTGATCACCGTCGACAACATATCTAGCTTTGTTTAGTTTTGAGCCTGTAGCTCCCATGAGAACTGATTCGACCATCTACGTACTGGTTCATTAGATTGAAATGTCCAGAGATAGAACGATAGTTTATCAGCCATTCAAGGTATGTCAGATGGAGAAATCACAATCGCGTTGTCAAGTCTGGTCTCACTAGGCTGAAATATATTGGACTGTACCGGTCCATAGTTAACGGACATGCGTTGACTCCCAGCTATGATGCGAAGCACATCACCATGTTTGTTTCGCCACCACCCACGCATGCTTCCTCTGGTCAAACTCTTATTAACGCGTGCACAAACACACTGACAATAGGACAGATTACTAAATAGACAAGGCAGAACAGTGGGTACAATGTCGCTCAGGCCTACAATCACATGCTACTATTCTTTGCTTTTCAAGTCCTCCAAATCACAACCAGGCCGATGATTTCAAAACAGTCCCATGGAGTGGAAAAAGATGAAAACAGGAAAATGAGTTAATTTAGCTGCCCAAATGACTTGTTTCATGGAGGGAAAGATAGTCAAGTATTGCCTGTGCAATCGAGATACTCAGAATAACCCCCAACTTGCCAGATACATGTTTTGTGTTCCAGTAACTTTCACATATTAAAACCGTTGTCTGAGAAAGCTTTCTGCAACCATCCCAGGTGACACTGAAAGGTACACATGTGATGGAAATGTCCCAAACTTAAACAGACTTCAGTTAAACAGAAGGTTTGGTAAAATACCGTATTTGTTATTTCAGCAGTTAAGTCCGACTCTTTCTGTGAAGCAAACAGAAGTTAGTTCCATTCTGCTAATAACGTGACGCTCTAGAATAAACAGAAATGATGAACCCCTTCGAAATTATACTGGCACAACTGCTGAGCACAGTTCGCCAGACCTCAGAACTCAGTGCTTCTTCGTGACCCTTAAACTGTGGTACTGGTGAGCGATCCCCCCAATATTTTCTTCGGAACCCACCCCCCCCCTATCAATCCGAAAGCTTCTTCCAATTTCAGTGCAATCTAGAATGTAAACTACGCTACTAACTGAGTCGCGACACTATGCGTGACCCGAAAACGCATCGGTCGCGTTTCTCCTGTCTCGCCGGCTGCGCAAAAAGTATGAAGGGCTCAGGAGAATGTAGGTGCAACAACGCGATTCAATGAGCAGACTACAACCATGAGGTTAATCGAGTGTTTGTGTACATCATGTAGCGCTTGTGTTTTGCGCACCGGTGGCTTTACAAAGGAAAGTCTGCAACGTAATGATGGTAAATATATCAGAATCGATAATAATGTCGACATTCCATCGCCAAGTCAAAAATAGATCGAGGGGGGCAGCACGATTCGGAGACGATTTGGAATGCGCGCTCATTGATTCAAGTGAGGGAGATTCCGTATATCTGGCCATTCCATACTGCAGAGGTGGTCACGCAAAATAGACACAACCTTCTAGCGGATGGGCATATGTGATTGTGTACGAGTCATCAGAATGGTTCAGCATGACCGCATCGCTGTGTATATTAATCTACTCCAACGTTTTGAGGGTAGCTCTGATGTTTCTGCAGAACGATTCTAAAGGTTAAGAAACGTGGCCATTAGGTACTCGTAATTGCGGCAGAAACACTGCCTCTTTACCGTGAAGTATATTTTCGGACTTTGAATATTTTCACCGGAAACGCTTCAGCAACCCAGACACGTCGAATATCTTGGTGCAACGCAGCGATAGCGCTCCGTACGGCAATGGGAAAATCCATTGTTTGAACATGCCAAAGTAACTTTCGTGAAGTTTTCAGACACCTTTGCACTAGTCCAACAAGACTGGTCAGGAAAGTGTGACCAGAAGAGCGATTTCAGTCTCGCCTTTGATTGACTGACCACATGTCTCAATACTTAAACACTGCACACTGTAATCAATCGAATAAAAGGTTAAAATGCATTACTGCTTAGATAGTAAGAGGCTTGGTTGCTCAAAACATACCAATCTTGAGTATCGTTCAGCCACTGGCTGGATTGCACCGATAGATGTGTCTAAGTGTGATAGTCCGCAAAGTGAGAAAAGAATAAACTTGCTGATAATTCCAAGTATCACAAACCCAGAACTGACAAATCCTCATGAGGTTTGAAGGCCCCAACACATTACAAGATGAAGCAATGATACATGGAATAACTTGAGTTTGTGGTTTGTTCGTAGTGTTCGAGGGCTATTTCAGCTGCGTCTAAGGGAAGGGCAAAGAACTCAGTGAAGGGTTATTGGGACGCCATGAGGGTTACTACAACTGCAAGTTAGTAATACAGCCGTAATGGGGAGTGCGTAGCCAAATATGAAGGAACATAAAGCGGGACCATATAATTGGAGACCACAATTCTTGCACTATCTTCGTCTTACACGCGACATAGCGCGGGTTTTTTAAAAGTACCACAAAATCACTGGGCGAAGTCGTCCGCTTTTCGGGGGTAAAAGAGCACCGACAGACCACTAACAATGTTCAGTATAAGCACTCCCATCCCGTCGGGTAATACACTGATGGTGGCCACTTAACCTGAGGCTAAATGTACTTGCTGTCGTGGAGTTAACTAGGTGAACAAAAGGTAGAGGATGCCTCTCTATAAAAGTGGATGTTTAAATATCATACCTTTCGTCAGTTTCGCTTGTATCTGCCTGGCGGGTGCAGGTTGCAACCAATTTTTCATTGAGGAACCGTTGGATCTGATGGGCTTCTGCGAACTTCCGTGAACCTTGGCCGTCTCTGTAAGATTCAGCTGACTGCTTCGTTTGTTTCGTACAAGTATTGGACTCGGAGCCGACCGAGTGCTTTCCAGAAGTCAATCCTTCGTCCAAATTAACTGTAAAAAGAACGAACTTAGCAAGGTGACATCACACCGGAAGCGATTCGGACCAAACTCGGCTCGCATCTTCTTAAACAGATTGAGAGTCATGTAGGAAAATTTACAATCAAAGCACAGCTTATTAGAGCAAAATGCTATTATCCGACGTCTCGGTTACTGTGGACGAGTCGTCAACCCATGTTTAAATTGGGGACTTTAAGAGGCTTGGCTCTCGAATTTATATACACACAACATTATGGTAGACAAGCTAATCCCAAGGAAACTTTAATAGCCCATGTACGTGTAATCTGTACCACATCCGAAACTGTAAAAACCTCTTATTTAACGCTGCGGCGAGCCGGGTAGATGAGGGATGGATGACAGTCTCAAAACAAGGACCACATGAACCGAGTCCAAAAAACGTTACCGGTAAGTCTGCCAAATGCAGAACCACCTTGTATCCCCAACTAAGATCGGGCAAAAATTGCTGTGACAGTGAAACAACGAAAAGAGTAACCCTGTGCTGCGGCATAAAAGAGACAGTCTTTATGGTCTAATTGGCAGCACAACTGAAGCAATTTAGCGAGTATGGTTGAGGTTTGTAAGCACTGCCCACTGAACACCCTGAATTGAACCAACGCACTAACAAGATGCGCGAAGTCACAACTTCCGGCTGTCCTCCCTGGATTAGAACACACGTTTTCAGGGACTGCCTGATTATGAACATTGTGTGCGCAAAGTTCATGCTAAAGGAAGGTGAGACACAGGACTCTCACTACCAATGACTTGGACATCAGGATTTCCAAGATCCTCGAAATATTCAATTAATGACTAGATTCAACGGAAGTGGGAAAACTAAACACATTGGACAACGTCGAATAAGAGCGTTTGGAGAGTTCTCCCTGGCGTCTTGGTTGCCCAGGACTGTGAAAATATCAGGGAACAATTATGTTCACAAACGTCTCAGGTATCCTAAGTGGACGTGGCTAGAAATTAATATTTTTTGATAAACGTTAACTGTCACCTGAAGAGAGTAAACCGGATTCAGAAATACCGAGGATTCCAGCCAACTATTAGCAAATCCGGCAAACAACTTGATTGTATCGGGTTTTCGTCGACGAACACTTCGGAGTCCCAAACGACCGAATTCGGATAAAGCCGAGGCGAGCTGCTTCAAAGCCGAACAGATGACTTGCACTTTTTGATTAAAACCAGATAACTACTAGCTGATGTAAGACAAAAATTCAATTCAAAGTCGAATTATTTAGCTGTGGAACTTTCAGTTCGTAGCTGACATGCAATGCAAGGGGTGAGCGAGAGCTGAGATACTGCCAAGTAAATCAATCCTGGTATGAGTAATAGAGCTTTCGGTTAGTAATTTCGAGCTCAAATGACCGAGAAACCTCTGGCTTAGGTGAGCAGTGCGTGATAAACAATAACTGGTGTGATGGAGCGTGTCACGAAACAAAACTTACGTAAACCGGAGTCGAGCTTACCATTCGCTGGAACACGTGTTGGATAATATCCATCAAACGAGATGTTCGAAAGGAAATCAACTGCTAATAATTTGTGGCGACTCTTCTTGCGTTTCATCCAAACAAGAAAGAAGTGGGCAGGTGAGCATCAGTGCTACCCAAGAAGGGCAGACAGAAGCAAATGAATGTGCAAATATGGTGGACACTGGTTGAGTTCGGTGTCCAGGGAGTAGTCGTTCCTTTTAGATCCACGCACACACCTACACACTAAACAGTTAGCATACTCGTATATATCTAAAACAGAAATAAAGGTGATGTGACGGATTCGAAGTAACGGTTTGATTCAGGAGGACCTTTCTCCTAAAGAAATTTGGAACGCACAAAAAAGACCTGTTGGACTACAATCAAACGAGCTCACATGAGAGCCCTGTAAAATTACAGCGATCAAAACATCGACGTGAGCAAAATCAAATGATGGCAGTCTACTTGAAAACCATCAAATGTGAATACTTGTTGAAAGTCAAAGCGGAAACCCTGAAAATTGGAGACCAGGATCGGGCAGTCGGATGAAAACCAACGTGTAAGTTGCTGAAAGTGGGCAGGATAACGGCACACAGGAATATATCATTATGCTGTGGTTGCTAAAGTAAACCATAAACGAAGTGGTGCAGGGAGAAGTCGCTTTATGCAGGTAAACAGTCTTGGAATAGGCGGTATAATGACCGAATTGGACGTAAAGAACTTTGCTGGGGTATTTCTACGTCAAGGTCATCTGATCGTACGAAAATTGGTTACCCGTTTGACCTTGTTTAATGTAATGTTGGCTGTGGTGTTTGTGGTGCTGTTACCAGCGGAAATCCCGAAGCCAAGCAGTTAAACTTCACCTGGAAGGATGGTTGTGGTGTGTCCATAGGTTGTTCACATCTTTCCAAAGTTTGATAATTCCTATTTGTGGCCAGCCCTTCACTGTTAGGTAGCTACCGTCTGCAGAAACGGATGCAATGGAACTAACGGGTGGGAATTTCTGTGAATGTGTGGTCCGACATGGGAATATGTTAACACGAATTTCACATCTATATGCATTTCATATATCCTATCTCACAGATAAGTTACTTTCAGAAAAATTAGGACTAGTTAAAATCACACGCAGTCCAGTGGTAACTGGTGAAAATATTGCAGTCTGTTCTCAGACTTCGTGGGCAGACGTTACTCCTCATTTGTCCAAACCTACAGGGGGACAACCTAAAAGCCGGAAGTGGACTAAGAAGACAAGGATTCCAGTCAGTTGCTCGCGGCGTTTCCGCTGAACGATCCAGAACTTGCGGGGACAAAACGCACCAAATGTTCCAAGTAAAGCCACTAAGATGGTACACGACATATAAAATCAAACTTAGAACTGATCCCTCAAGGTTTTGTTTAATCTTTTATGGGTGTCAATCAAGTTGCCAGTTCCTCCCCAGACAACTAGCCGGACCACTCGCTCACGGCATAACCAAGCAGCTTACAGGTTTGAGGTCGACCCGTGATGAACCGTTAAAATGGCAGGCCAAATATCGAAAATATTTATTCGCCCTGCAACGTAATATGTAGAATTATTTGTCGGCCAAAGCTACATACCGTCAGGTCGAAACATTCAATAATTAGATGAAATGAATGAAAACTGTCCAGCTACAGCATGTTTTCGGTGCCTAGCTGACATATCACCCGAAAGAAGCACCAGGGCCGGGATACTGTCAGGTTGTCCAAGTCTAGAACAGGAGCAGTCGAGATGCAGATGTCGGCTGTCGGGCCTTCCAGTCAGTAAGTTCGCGCTTTAACCGCTAAGCCATCTCGAGTACCGAAAGTTAGATAAACTTCGTGGTTGTACGGCGAAGAAAAATCAATTCTAACACCGATATTGTTGTCTCTGATGGTGATGACTGCTTATGTCTAGACTTGGGCAACCCAATAGCATCTCGACCACTGCAGTTTCATTGAGAGGGGCATAGTGCAAGACTGAACGATTGCCGTAGCAGGGCTTCCAGAAACCAATAATGATGGTCTTCCTTCACCCGAAAACTGTTTTTGACTCTGGATCGACAAACACTTTGGGTGTCTATGGCCCTCCCAAGCAGTTTGCCCGCAAACTGCTTAAGACGGCTGCCATCATTGTACCCGGTGGTGTCAGATAAGACTGTCCTCTTTCACCTTTTCAGTGCGGTTTCTTCATCCGTGGAAGGCTCGCTCTGAGCCTGTAAGGCCTATAGGGTCGAGATGCTCCCCGGGCCCTTGCTTACAGATGCTAAGTACGCAGACAAGAAAGTGCTTGTCAGAGCGGTGCTACCCTAATTAATCCAAATAACTCCGTCCCATGGATTGGTAGGCGCTTCACATCCGCAGAGTTAATCATGCTGTTGCTTGGACCCACACCTCATGCTTAAGGATGAGCTAACTGAGGTAGTAGGTAAATCTTTCTGCCTGGGTATCTGCGTCGGCCCATGGTCTGATCATTGATGATACTTTCATTTTATTCAGAAAGGCCAGAGCGGCTTTTGTCAGCCAGTATCACCTATGGCGCGGGTGACACAAGCTTATCTGTCAAGAGTCGAGTTTAGACTTCTGTGGTGTGGAGTGGTGAATATTACTATATCGGTCGGAAACCGCTGTGTGCCGATGACTTTCAGTGTTTGGCGATCGCTGTCTCTGAGTATTGCTTGAGTCTGAAGTAATGCTGAAGTAAGCCGAATGGTTTACGAAAGAAGAAGCTCGCACTCTACGGATTGCGCTGGCTTGGTTACGAACTTCGTATGACCGACGATTAACTTCCTCGGACGGCCCTTTTCGCACAAGCCAGTGGAGGTTATGCAACGTATTGATAGCGAACTGTGAAACCCACTGTCAGCAACCGCAACTTTGGTGGTTATTGTCCGAACTCCGCAGGTGGCTAGTGTTGCGACGGGTGTATAAAATGTGATAATTGTGGACTTAAAGTTCTGAAACTGACCATCACGACCAACATCATCACCATCGTAACCATTCTCAGCTGCCAAAACTGCATACATGTCATAGTGGCCACAATTCCGTTCGCTAATCTCGAAAGATAGGGTTGGATAGCTATACATTGGAGGCTATAGCCAATATAATCAATGGAGAGGCAATAGCTCGGATTTATGCGCACAGTTGGGCGCGCGATTAGATCATGTTTGTCAATGCCTCTAACCACTGACGTAACACATCACGGGGTCCTTATTCAAGGAGATGGCAATGACTAACGCAACTGGGTTTCCTTGGCCTTCAAGATCCACTAGACCTCATGGGCGGTGAGCAAACCAAGTTTGCCTGAATTATGTTGAACTATATTGAATTATGTTTGGGGCCTGTGGGTATATTGCCCCAAGATTAAAACGATGCCACTATTTTCCCTGATTTTCAGGGCTTCAGCTCATCTGGTAGCCCCGTGTCACATGCAAGAATCCAGATGTTCAGAAGACGATCCTGATGAACTCATTCAACTTTGGGGTTCGCCAGCTTCTCATTTGTTATGCGATTCAGTCGCACGTTACGCGGCCCTGGAGGAGAAACGACTCCGGAGAAGCCTGTCGCCGGAGTGCGCAAAACGAGCGTCAGTCAATTGCCGGTCCGCACCATTGGTAGCTGATGACGATATGGTCAGTTTGGATTCGTGGCTGCCTCACATTTGGAGGACCCCATGTGGCTAGATGACTTCCGTTGTTTCCGTGGTACTGCATAAAGTCAGACTGCGGTCAACACACAGCTCAAGCATCGTTCCGTAAGTACCGAGAACAATCTACGTCGGCCAGAAAACTGAATCTTAGATGTGCCAAGCCTGTCTACTAGTGTATTCAGAACTCCGGCAACCACGACGATATCTTAGCTTCTAGCTTGTCGCGAAGGGCATTCAACGCGTGATAAAACTTATCTTTGATGGCAAGAGATGCAGTTTGTTGGTGAGCAAACAGACATAACAAACGATAACGATCAACTTCCCGCGCACATAATCGCCAAGCGAGTTGCGTGAGAGCAGGGGCAGCTTGTAATCCTGCTACCTTGAGTACGAGCAATAAAAACAGCCAGATAGATAGATTGGGGACTGATTTAGAGCGGGATGAGGATGCTAGTGCCAGATGACGCGATGCTGCCACGAAAACCTACGCAGGACGAACGGAGTCATCAGCATTATTCATGTGCCTACAAGTAGTGTGATGGGGGAGGGGAATTATATAAAAGAGAAGGAAGGGAGGCATCAAAAACAGCCTGTTATCTCTCACCCGCCCTGTTGTATGAAACAGGTAAGACGACTCAGCTGATGACACCACGCGACGACGGATGTGGCATGAGAGTAGTATTAGTTGTGTCATGGTAATATGTGGGCTGATATACTGCCAGGGTGCCAACACCCAGATAGGAGGACAGCATGGCTGGTCAATTCATCCAAAAACACCTGCACCTTTTCTCCCTCCTCAAAGAGGAGGACGATGTTGCCTGCATATTCTAGAACGACAATGTGTTTGTCAGAGGGTATTTGAACACCAGAGTTTTGAACACCTTCCAGCGTTCGTCTCTTAATTCATCGGTTCCGAAATTAAATAGGAATGCAGAGAGTGGGTACCCATGGTGGACACCGCTTTGTATACAGAAGCTTCCAGAGAACTCTGCGTATAACCTTATATGCCCAGAAGTATGAGGATGGGAAGGACTTACTATGTTCAAAACCTTCCAGGGCATTCTTTGATGGGCAAGCGTGTTAAGAATAGTCCGATCAACCGGGTCAAGTGCGCCTTGGAAATATAGAAAATTAGAATTTTGGATCATTGTTACGTACAGTATTGTTTTAGCACCTGATGGATTGTGTAGATTGGGTCAACGTAACCTATAGCTGATCGGAATCCCACCTGCTGCTCCCGAGTTAGTGTTCCACCAGCCATTATGAGGCGACGAATTGACGCAAATAGTCTCGTTTTCACCGGAATCAAGCTGGTCCCCCGTGATTGGCACAATTACCGATTCTCCACACAAACAGACCAGACAAGCGCTAACTGAAGACTTCACCACCATCTTTGGACAATATGGGTGGTAGGTTAGCCAGACCATGAGCCCGGTGGCGCTTGAGAGAACATATACCATCATAAACCTCCGAGGCCGTAGGGGGTCCAAGTTCACTGTCCAGGGTTCTCCGTCAACTATAGGCTCCAGATTGGTGGCAGCCGGTGGCCGAGACAGTTGCTGTTTGACGCATTCGCCGCCTGTTCGAAATGTTCTTCATTCAAGATGGCCGGTCCATTTTGACTC